GATGCTCCAGCTTGCGCTGCAAAGAGACTAACAAAAGCAATATTCAAAACCCATTTTCATCCCAAGAATCAAAATCTAATATGGACTTGTGGAATTATAATGAAATTAGGTGGTTTATTTTAGTTTTCTCAGTGTTAAAGAAATTGCAGGCAAGTCTATTGTGTGCATAAAACAAAAAACAAATAAAAGCTTTCTTAATAAATTAATTTTAAAATAGAAGCAGTTTAATTTGAGCTTTAAAACCACAGAGGGATATTTTCTCTTCATTTTTGTAAGAAGCTCATAAACATAGACATTCACTATCGGGCGGGAAGTTCTAGATTACTGTAGGTGGCATTTCAGAGAGTAAGTCATCATTGTCAGAATATCCTTAAGACTCCATATATCTTGATTTCCTTAATTACCAATAATTAGTTTAAATGCTTCAGAATCCCAACGCTCAATTTTGAGGCCCTGTTGTCATTTTAAAAAAAGCTGAATCTACCAAGTGTCAAATTAAAATATGGAGTACGAAAAATTGGTCAATGCAAGCATAAGGTGTAATCTCACATTGGATTGTTGATGAACGTTTAGCCAAGGGATAAGAATGTGGGAAATTATATTTTAAAATATGAAAACTGAAGATGTCTATGCACCTTAGTATGCCAGTCCCACAACCAACATCCATAACAGTACCGCCTCTAAAAAGAGAGGGATTTTCCAACATTGCTCTCCGATAAGCATCCGTTCTTTCCTGCATTTATTTTAAAAGAGCATTTACACAACGAAACTTAGTTTGCGTGGAGTTCAATTCCTCCTTCCACTTCTTTTTACCAAAGTACCATGAGCATGAAAATAATCTTTCCAAAAATGTTACCTTGTCACTGATCATCTCCCTATGAATTCCAAAGAAACTGTATGAACCAAAATAACTCTTGTTAATGGCCTTTATTTGATTTATCTCAACATCGGAAATAGAACTAGCATGCCTCTCATCCACTGATTTTCTATGCGGTGAAACACTTTTGATTTCAGAACTGCCCAATGGATTTCCATTATTGAAACTTCCATCAGTAGGAGGTGCGACCTGCTTTTCCCCGTTCTCGCAACACGCTTTGTGCCTAGACTGGCACTCTTTAGATGAAAAATCATCATCATCAATTCTAATACCTTCCAAACCACTCAGATCCTTAGAGCACAATTCATCATTGTTATCAACTGACATAGTATCATCTTCAACATCATCATCTTCAACAAAACTATATAATAGTGCATCATCCTGCAAAAACGGCTTCAGATACTTGTCATCGTCCCATGGCAGGAAATCACTTCTATATTCTACCATTTTGTGTAAATGGTCTTGCATATCTTGCTTCAAATTACATGTGATCCGACAATTCCAACATCTACTTTCAGCAACCTAGCAACGGAAAAGTATAAGTTGTGCCCAGTTAACACCCATGTATGGATTTTGAACATAAGAGAGTTCATGTGAAACTAGTAAAGAATGAGGTTTCGAGGAAATCTGAACGCACCTCAGACCTAATGTAGTTGATGAGCTTGAAACAGCCATAGAAATCCAATCGAAGATTACTCTTGAGTTCCTCGAAGTCAAAGCGGTGGCAGGAAGCGCAGTGCTGAAACAGAGCTCGGCCGGAATTCAGCCGGGAATCACAGAACAAGCAGAGGAAGTCTGGATACAGGGTATCGTCTTCTTCATCGGCTTCCCAATCATCCCAGTTCTGGTCTTCTTGATCTATGATATCTATTCCATCTTCCATTTCCATTTCGGTGCTGTCCGAAGCATTCTCGTCGTCGCTTGGCGCCGTTGCCATTGAAGTGAGGAAGACTTTGCGCCACAGGCTAAAACCCTAAACCCTTCCCACTGTGTTAATTTGCCGGTCCAAAAGAGGGAGTGCGGAGGATGTTAATTTTATTTTAGACAAGATAGGGTTTGAAAAATGTTGAAAAAATTACTTAATTAAGTGATCATTCAAATAAATATATAATAAAATTATAATTTTGGATAAAAAAGAAATTATTCTTGTCCGTAATAGAGGTGGTATCTTATAAAATTGAATAAACATTGTTATTTTATATTTATCGTATATAAATATCTTAGAAAAATTAGAAGAGACTGGAAAAAATTAAAAGAGTTAGAAAAAGTTGAAAGTTAATTTTTCTAACTCAAAATAACATAGTCTAAAGAGATATGAATATTGATATTTTAAATATCAAAATTCTTTTTTAGTAGTATGTGGTTAAGCAAAACAGAATCAAGTTTGATATCTTTAAATATCACACACTTTTCAAATAGAAAATTTCAATACCTCCTAAATTTAGGGGATATTAATACGGAGGTTTGGCATCTTCTTCAAGTGTTGATCATTCCCACCATCGGTTACTATTGTCGTTATCAACCATCCCTGTTTACAACCACCTTCCGTTATCATTAATTTAATAATGATTTTATGTCTCTTCAAATAACTTCATTTCAATCAAATTTTAGAACTCACCAAATGGGTCATCAATTACTAATGGGGTGTGGTTTTTTTATGTTAAATGAACCAAACTCGAACTCGTGCATTGCATGGACAAGTGGACAACATATATATATTTAAAAAATGATACACTTTGATGCAATAAAACTAGAGAAATATATAAATGTAACAAAATATAAAAATATTTCTTAAAAAGAAAGGGAAATATACATTGGATGCTCTTGCCAGAATTGAAATTCCTTCAAATACAAATGAAAAACTCTTGCAAATGAGTCTTCAGTACACAAAAAACATGGCGGGCCACTTGGTTCAAAAAATATAAAACCAAGAAAACTTAAAAGGCAAGAGACAACGTTTGAAACAAAATATGTTCATTCTTCAGAAAAGAAAATGAACAAACAGAGCATATTGATATAAAAAATAATATCAACGAATTTCAAATGAGGATTTAATAATCTCTAAAGATTCGAATAATTCAGATGAAAATAGAAATGTTGATAATTATGAGATCTCAAAAATTTATGTTTCTACATGATTACAATGGAATAGAAAATATGTTCATGCAGATGATATATTCGCATATGTCATCGCCATTAACATCATGAATGAAAATGATGACATTGAGCCAAATTCAATTGATAAATGTTGACGTATACATGATTGGTGAAAATGGAATGGAGCAATTCAGACATAATTGAAATTACTTGAAAAATGAAGTATTTTTATGCATATATTTCTTACACTAAAGGGAGTGAAACCAGCTAGTTTCAAATAGGTTTTTGTGCACAAGTGTAATGAGAAAAATGAAATTGTGAGATCTAAAGCCCGACTCGTTGCCCAATGTTTTTATCAAATCCGGGGATAGATAATGAAGAAGTTTATTCCCAGTAGTTGATACAACTACGTTGATATTTTTTATAGGCGTGTCTGTCTTTGAAAAGCTACAAATGCATTTAATGGATGTAGTGACAACCTGATAGTGACATGTATATGAAAGTTCTTGGAGGCCTAAAATTGCATGAGGTTTATAATTCAAAACCTTGAGAGATGTTTTCCATAAAATTAGAAAAGTCACTATATGGACTAAAACGATCTAGAAGAGTGTGGTATAATCATCACAGTGAATATCTGCTTAGAGAAGGATACAAAAATAATCCAATTTGTCAATGTGTTTTCATTTGTAGATCTAAATCATGATTTGCCATAATTGTAGTATATGTTGATGATTTAAACATCATTGGAACTTTTGATGAAATAGAAAACACTACAAAATATCTCATGAAAGAATTTGAGATGAAGGATCTTGGGAGAATAAAATTTTGTCTTGGTCTTCAAATTGACCATTTGAAGGATGAAATTTTTATCCTCTAGTCAAATTACACAAAGAAGGTTCTGAAGCGGGTTTACATGGATAAAGCACATCCTCTCACATCCCCGATGGTTGCCTGCTCTCTCAATGTGCATGATGATCCTTTCTGACCTCGTGAAGATAGTGATTAAATACTTGGTCCAGAAAGATCATGCTCGAGTCCTATTGGAGTTTTGATGTATCTAGCAAATGACACTCGATCAGATATTGCATTCTTTGTGAACTAATTAGCCAGATACAATTCGACCCCGACTAAGAGGCATTAGAATGACATTAAATACATTTTGCGATATCTCAATGGTACCATCGACCTTGGTCTATTCCACCGCAAAGCTACTACAGCCACTCTTGTTGGATATGCAGGTGCAGGATATTTATCTGATCCACGAAAGAAAAAAAAAACTCAAACAGGATATGTGTTTACTTATGGAGATACCGCAATATCATGGAGATCGATGAAGCAAACTTTGACATCCACATCATCAAATCATGCATAATTGATAGCTCTCTACGAAACAGGTAGAGAACGTCTATGGTTGCGATCAATGATCAAACATATCGAGAGTGAGTGCGGTATAGAAACAATCACTAGCCATCCGACTACTATATATGAAGACAACACTGCATGCATTGCTCAACTTAAAGGAGGCTACATCAAAGAAGACGGAACAAAGTATATATCACCAAAATTCTTCTTCACATGATCTCGAGAAAGATAGAAAGATTGACATCAATTAAGATGAGTTTCAAAATTATCCCCATTTCACAAAGTACCCATCATTAATTGAAAAATGAACATTTATAGAGGAGTACTGTGAAATAAGTAAATTGTTAATCTATTCAATTAATTAAGATAAAACACAATTACTAGAGTTCAATAATATCTTCTTAGGTGTATTAATTAATTATATATTATCAACTAGCATAAAAAAATGCATAGCTCATCTCTACTTGTAGAAGTCTTTAGTTTGAATTGTACGAAGTATTGGTTTAATTTTATGCAATTAATATCAACAAGAAGAGAGAAATATCAATAAAATAAAGAATTCAAAAATATATTATATCTATTTTCATAATTTCTAAATAAATTTTTTCTCATTTTATAAAATAAACTACTTATTCCATAAATCAATGCCTAGTAAACGTGGAATGGTTCACCATCAATCCCCATTTCATCCAAAGTTGATTGGTGGGATGATCAATCCAAAACTTTGAAAAAAAAGCAGCTGCAGGTCGGCCTTTCCGGCGCGCAAGTCTTCCAAACTTCCGTCGCCATCGTTCTCTCTCTCACCATACGATTCAAAGTTCCACCTTTGAGCATTCAATGGTTTCAATCTCCTGATACATCATCCGCATTAGTCGATGCCGGGAGAGAAAGTGCACGAACCACCATCCCGGATTCAATCACTTCACTGTTGCAGAGTAGACCCAAACCCGAGTTTTTCATATTTTTAGAATTCAAAGCTCAAATTTTCAATTTAATCTCCGCATTAAATCACCCTTTTTCCTGCTCTGCGTAATTCACTCTCAGTCCACTGATCTCGTCCGCTCTTTAGCGATCGCCATGGAAGAGTAATCACTTCTCCTTTACTCCAGATCTCAGTGTGTAATTTCTTTTTGAAGTGTATTTATTGTTGTTTTACTACCTTATTTGGTTGGAAATGTGTGGGCGCGCAGGGGGAACTGGATTGAGCTTGTACAGAGATATAGACGAGACAGGCGCGTGCTCCTTAATTTCTTACTCTCCGGCACCTTGATTAAGAAGGTGGTTATGCCTCCTGGCGCAGTTTCTTTGGAAGATGTGGATCTTGATCAGGTCAGCGTCGACTATGTTCTTAATTGTGTCAAGAAAGGTATGCAAATCTGGTGGTGAATTTAAGAGAGATTCCATTTTTGCTTCTCGTTGTTTGACCCCGGGTTAGATTCTATTGTTTTGGCTAAAATGGAAAGCCTCTTCATTAATGTAGGAGGAATGCTTGAACTTGCCGAAGCTATTAGAGATTATCACGATAGTACATTGTTCCCCAATGTGGTAAACATGATATTCTCCTTTTACCGTAGTGTTTTTCCTTTGGTGCTATCTCGTCATTCTTTTCTTTTCCTCTATAGACTTGTTTTGCATTTTGTTCTGCCACATTGCTGATTATTACTCCGTATTGTATTTTGTTCTCAAAGAACAATGTAGGAGCCGCCAGTGAATTCTTTTTGGCTACAAATCCTGAATCATCTGGTTCGCCCCCGAGGAGGGCGCCTCCACCTGCCCCTGCTGTGACACCCCTGCCAATTCTTCCAAGTCTTTCAAATGAAGAGCCCCTTGATTCGGAGCCTGTTGAAGAGCAATTTGCCCTATCTAAAACCCAGTCTCTTAAGTCCAGTCAAGCTCGAGAGTTAACTGTTGATGACATTGAGGATTTTGATGACGTTGATGATCTAGCCGAAATTGATAGCCGTAGATATTCTAGAAGAGTTCTAAACGATGCCACTGATCTTATGCCTGGACTGCCTTCATTTGCCACTGGTAACCTTCCTGTCATGCTCATATATGTCACACCGTGTAGAAAATTCTTAGCAAACTTTGCAAGTATTTACAAATGAACGGAAGCTATAAGATACATGGCTTGGAAACAATTGTAAATGTGATGGTACCTTAAATAAAACAATATTCTACTCCCTCTGACCAATAATTTTGTTTCTTCTTTCCAGTTTGGGCCACCCCAAAATTTTGTTCCACTTTCCTTTTGAGGGAAAAAGATTATGTGGTTGAGATGGTTTATCTCTTCTCAAACAAATATCAACCACACAATTTTATACTTCCTTAAAAAGCGAGCCATGTCAAAACATAATCACTTAGACATGCAAGATAATAAAATTGCATTGAATTATTTTCTAAATATAAATTGTATTGTTTTCTGAATTTCTATGCTAAACTGATGATATTAACCCTTGTCATTATATGGAATCTATGAATAAACATTGTAATGGACTTAATGTCAAAATGTAGTTATGCGTCCATAACTGGGAATTTGGGATAACAAATTTCTATTTTCATTGCTCTATGCACACGGGGCCCGGAACATGGTTTGCTTCACTAAGTTATTTTCTGTATTTTTTTAGACGTGTTGAGATGTCATAGATTAGATTCTTTTTCCTCTTCCTTTTTTAAGTAAGTTGTCTATCAGTAGGATTCATCACTGGATTGCTCCTATTACCCCTTAAGTGTTGGAGCATCTCTTGTTTATCATACTATTGGGATCATGTGGATATGGACTGCCAAACTTCTAGTAGCTGGGAGACCAGCTATTGCCGATTTTTTTTTAAACTTCTTTTCCAATACTTTAAAGTCAAAATCATCCTTATGACTGGCAGTGCCATCTATTTTGGGATAAAGTCTATATGGCTTCATAAATTTAAAAAATTCAATTTCTTGGCGTTCCTCTAGGTATTAGTGATCACGACCTTCAAGAAACTGCGTATGAAGTCCTCCTGGCTGCTGCTGGAGCTTCAGGGTACTGCTTATTGTGTATGTGTGTTTTTGGCTTACAGCACTACTCCAATTTCACCTAACAAACTTTTAATATTTATATTTTGATGTTTTATTTGCAAGCAGAGGCCTCATTGTACCTTCAAGAGAGAAGAAAAAGGACAGAAAAATAAAGTTGATGCACAAGCTTGGGCGCAATAAGAGCGATTATGGTGTGACTCGGCCTCAGCATTCTAATGGATTGGTTTCTCTTTTGGAGACCATGCGTACCCAAATGGAGGTAACCTATAACCGTAAAGTATATTAGCATTGTTTATCTATGCACTATTTTGCATCTCCAATGCTCGGTCAGTGCATCCTGAGCATATGGTCTGTATAAACTTTTCTATATTACTATATATTAGGCTTCTCATAAATTATCATGGCCACCAGATTTCAGAGGCAATGGATATTAGAACAAGAGAAGGGCTTCTTAATGCCATGGTGGGTAAAGTGGGGAAAAGAATGGATACGCTGCTGGTTCCTTTGGAGCTGTTATGTTGCATTTCACGCACAGAGTTTTCTGACAAGAAGGCATATATAAAGTGGCAGAAGAGGCAGGTGATATATTTCTTCTCTCACGTGTGTTTTGTAAATTCATACTTAACTGGCATTCTTCTTTTATTCCCTCTCTTCTTTCCAGTTTCTTTATCCCTTTCTTTCCTTTTCGGAAACAAAAATGGTTTGGTTGAAAACGTAAGTGCAGTTTTAAAATGTTGAAACTTCATATGATACTTAAACACATCAATATCGTTATCAGCACCTTAGTCCAAAATAGTTGAGGTCAGTGGAATTAAATTTACAATGCCAGTTAATGGTAATTTGTAAACACTATTAGTTCATGCAAAAAAGACAGTAGCAAAAGTTTTACGCCAGATGCCTTTCCTGTTGTAACCTTCTTACAGAGGATTAATAAAATGGAATTCTAAAGCTGTCTTCATAATATGTTATTTCTGTAACATGTAAAATATCACGAGACATAAATGAGTTGAGATAATTGCCATTGTCATATTGTAAATCAACCTGCAAATTGTAGACGGACTTAAACACAGGCCATATGTTGTGAACTTGTGATTGTGCAGTTAAACATGTTGGAGGAGGGACTTGTCAATCACCCCGCTGTAGGATTTGGGGAATCTGGCCGCAAAGCCAATGAGTTAAGAGTTCTACTGGCCAAGATAGAGGAATCTGAGGTTCGTACTTATTTATTTTTCTTTGTGTTGTTTATAATCTAGTGACTAGAGATTTAAATTAATCCTACCTAAGGAATAAAAGCTTAACCACAGTGACTCAATTTTTTAACTGTTTCCCTCTGAAGTTCCTTTTATATGGAGGATTCCATTATTATAAAAGCTAACATTAAAGCAAGTAACAGAGTTGATACCTACAACCCTAAAGCAAAGAAAAAAGGGGTGCAAAGTTAAATTTGATCAATGCACGAGAAAAGTACTAATAAGAATGCTAAACTCTTTTTATTCTCACATTATGATCTGAACTTTACTTGTTTTGTTTCTTTTAGTCTCTTCCAACTCCCGCTGGTGATCTTCAACGATCTGAATGTTTAAGATCTCTAAGGGAAGTTGCTATTCCACTGGCAGAGCGGCCAGCACGAGGCGATTTAACGGGTGAAGTTTGTCATTGGGCTGATGGTTATCACCTGAATGTTAAACTATATGAGAAACTACTTCTCAGTGTCTTTGATGTTTTAGACGAGGGAAAGCTTACTGAGGTTAGTTATAACCCATATTATGTGAATATATTACCCAACTGCCGTAGGTTTTACTGCTAATCTTTTCATGAGAGTTATGAATCTCATATTTGCTTCTGAAGTGTACAAAAGCCATGCCCTGCCCTGAATTTGTTCATAAATAATTAGCTGTAACTGACAAGAAACATTATGAAATAGTAACTGACAATAGGATCAGATCACATAGTGATTCTGGAATCTAATTTCTTGTCTATTATTTCTTCATTATCTTGCCCTTTAACTGGTTGAAGTGCTTCCCTTGGTTTCAGTTTCATTCTTTTCATGTTTCCTAGTGGGCGGAACACTATAGTCTATGCAAATCTTTTATCGTTGTTGCTGATTTTGATCTTATTAATTACAGGAGGTTGAAGAAATTTTGGAACTTTTTAAATCAACCTGGCGTGTTTTGGGCATAACAGAGACAATTCATTATACTTGTTATGCTTGGGTGCTATGCCGTCAGGTAACAAAAGGAAGAAATGTTATTTACTTGCTCCTGGATTGAACTGTCTGAATTGGAGAATTTTAAGAATGGAGAGTCATTACTGCATAATTGCATATATTGTTACTATAAGAGCTATGGTTAGTTTCTGTTGATATTGTATTGGTTACCCATTATCTGACCAGTAATTGAAATTCAGTTGTTAATTATATTAAGAATAAAGTTCATTTGACATGCATTTGTTAATTTGTAGTTTTGTACAATGTAAGTTTCTTAGTGATTAATGTTTTCCATTACTAAAAGTTTAAATTGGTACCATGGATATACATTTATCATTTTGTAATTATTTTCAACATGCCCCTTATATGTGTGGCAGATACTTACTTATAAGCTGAACATGTGAATATTTTGATGACGGTGTAGCATGTGTGATTGAAGCCCGTGTCTTTGTTATGGTATATGCCCACCTTGAGTACTGCTTTTTTTTTTATAAAAAAGATGGAGAGTCTAAGGTATTGGTGTTGGAGCTTATTAACCATTTTGCCTACAAAAGTGATGTAGTGTTATACAACACCGCCAACAACAGCCAAGCCTTAGTCCTTAATCATTGGGGCTAGGCTACATGGACCCAAAGAGAACCTCTTGAGGTCCACCACCAAAAGTCTCAGTGTTATGTGCTGTGTGGTGCTCTCATTTTTTAGTTATAATGGAACAAAAAATCAAGGGCTTCTGCACCATGACAAGAAATAATGAATTATCTATATCAATCTTTCAAGGGAGTACATGGAGAAAACACAAACTCACTGATAGTAAGGAAAGTTAATCACAAAAATTAGGGAGTAAATTGGGGCTGTTATTAGCATAGATTTTGGATCTCCAAAGCATGATTTTAGGATCTTATTAACCCCTGGTTGATATTTAATTTATTACTTACCTTTATTTTATGTTTCAAGAGTTGAGAGTAAATAGAACCACTCTTATAGGAAGAAGCACAGAAGTTTTGATTAGGAATAGCATATCTATTGGGCAGAAAAATTCTGCTGGACAAGTTATCTTGCTGGAGGGTTTCTTTGGAAGCTATTCTTTGTTCTTATTTTTTTCAGTTTCTTTCTGCCATCTATAAAAAACTTTCTTATTCAGAGCACATTTTCTTTCTCCTCTTTACTCTCTATCTCACATGCATGCCACACACAGGGATATGAGTTTAGCACAATAGGGCACTACAACGGCATTTATCATTTCTAGTTGTGCTGAGAGAATTATTATCATGTATCCAAGATGTGCCTTCTTAATGTGGATTTTCTAGACAACTTATTTTGAAACCTTTTTAATGCAATTTATATCTATTTATTTGGTTTTGCAGGTCCATTGGTGGGTCCTTAGTCAATTCTACAAATTATGTTTTTTTATTTTGTAGCATTTGCTTAATTATTGCTTCATTATGTTTCTACAGTTTGTCATTACCAGCGAACGAGGAATTTTGCTGCATGCCATTGAACAATTAAAGAAAATACCATTGAAGGAACAACGAGGACCACAGGAAAGATTACACTTGAAAAGCTTGCAATGCAGAATTGAAAGTGATAATGGATATCAGGAACTCACTTTCATACAGTCTTTCTTAGTACCTATCAAAAAATGGGCTGATAGGCAGCTGGAAGACTACCATCTTCACTATGCTGAGGTTCGTTAGGGATATCATGAAATATTAATTATGAATTAACAGTTTGGCATGACATATTGTTCCTATTCAATTGTATAATTGAACAAAGGAGGATTTGGTAAATTTATTTGAATTGACATTCACAGAATTGCCACAATAAAAAATTTATGCCTTGGGGGTGGGTGTGATGGACACTTTTGGGGAAAATATTAATGAAATAAAATGGTTTTGATGTCAGAGGAAAAAATTAATGAAATAAAATGGTTCCGATGTCAGAATAAAGTTGCATATATGCCAACAGGGTATCACATTTCACAATGTTGCTCAGTGCACGAATTTAGGATACATTTCCTTCATATTTCTTCTGGATTTTTATACCAAGCATTTGTGCAATGGTACTGTACTTTTTTCTTTTTTTCTTCATTTAAGAGTTGCACTCACATTTGTATAGGGTTCAGCAATGATGGAAACCACTTTGGTGGTGGCAATGCTTGCACGAAGGCTTCTTTTAGAAGAGCCTGAATTGGTATGTCTTGTATCTCTCCTCATCTCTTGTCCCTCTTCCTCCCGACTGGCATATTGTCAACCAAGGAATTTATAGAATAGCATAAAGAGTTGTTAGAGCGCATCCCACATCGGAAGTCCAAGAGAAATAATCGGTATATAAGCTCTTGAGTTGAACTAACTAATCGATTGGATTTAATCTTTTAATGTGGTTTAACCCAAGTGTCTTATTGCCAAATCCAATGATCCATACCCCATCCTAAATTTATTATGGTATCAGAGCAGGTTTTGGCCCACCTCGTTTGTCAAGGTGTCCGTCTAGACGTTTATTCCTAGCGGCCCATTAGTCTTTAGCCTAGCTGTCCGTATGGCGTATGTACCAACGGTCTATGGCTCGTTTAACACGATTGCTCGTCTGGAAGTCCATACCCAGTGGCTCGTAGTCCTTTAGGTGTTGGCGCTCAAAAAGAAGTCAAGGGAATGAGAGTTCATTTGCAAGTGGTCAACCGGTTAGATTCAAAATGGTCCGGTTGTCCACTTGAGGGGGAGTGTTAGAGTGCATCCCACATCGGAAGTTCAAGAGTAAAATAATCGGTATATAAGCTCTTGAGTTGAACTAACTAATCAATTGGATTTAATCTTTTAATGTGGTTCAACCCAAGTGTCTTATTGCCCAATCCAATGATCCATACCCCATCCTAAATTTATCAAGAGTCATTGCTCACTCAAGATGTTTTTTGTTTGTAATTACAGATTATTTCTGTTGATTTATCAGTACGGTACATTGAATTTTAAGCTTTTATTTTTCAAGGCAATGCAGGATATACTTAACACTGATTCGGAGCAGATAGAGTTTTACATATCATCTTCAACAAAATATGCATTCGCAAGGGTAATTTGTTGAATACACTTTTTCAATCAAAGACCGGCACAATTGTTTATTTGTTTATCAAAGAAACTGATTTATATTTTGCTTCTGTTAAATTGGTACACAAGTTTTTAAATTTAACAAAAAATGTCATAATCTTAGTTCATTAAACATTACAGGCTTATTGTGAAGAATTTACGTTTGTTGAATTTGAGATTGTTTCATGCTATACTGTACAGTATATAAGTTGTTTCACTGTCAGACTGAAGTATAAAGTGTCTGACAAAGTAGAGAATAGAGATCTGCATTTTCTTACGAGCCGGAAAATAGTTGCCGAGTATCAAGTGTCCTCACATTGAGGAAAACCTTAAATAAACTCATATTTATTCATTTTCATGTTGCATGTTTAGATAAAAATATAGGAAAATGCTAGGGGTACACCAAAAGTGTACCCCAAATATCCCCCACCCCCTCCATAACCACAAAAAAGGCAAGTAAATTTCAAAAAAAAATAAAAAATAAAAACAAAATAAAATGAATGGTAAAGAGTGGGGTGGTGTACATTTGGGGTACACCTTTGGTGTACCCCTAGCATCTCCCAAAAATATAAACTCATACTCAGAGGATGTTATAAGGCAACCTTTCGCTTTCTCATAAATATAAGCACGTGAAGGATAAACAGTGAAACACCATGAAATAGAAAATTTTGGAAAATACAGAGAATCTTTAAATCATGTCTGGCATGCGTTGCATGATTTTTTCCCAGGTATCAGTAAAGACATAATATTCAGGGCCTTAGTTTGAAATAGTGTCAAGCAATTCATCTGAGTGTTACTATGTTACATGACTTAACTGAACATGGTCCAACGATCTTTGATTCCGGATATTCTTCATTGAAGCTTTGTTTTGCTTTCTATCCATAGGTGCTGCAAGATGTGGAGACAATGTCAGATGCAACTGATGAGCATCCCCTGGCATTACTTGCAGAACAGACAAAGAAACTTTTACTGAAAGATAAGACATTTTACATGCCTATCCTAAAACAGAGGCATCATAATGCAGCTGCTGTTTCAGCATCTCTACTTCACAAACTATACGGCATTAAGCTGGTAAGCTTATTGTAGTTTCATTTGTTGTTAAACAATTCATTTGTGATTTTAGAACCAGGAAATATGAGGAAAGAGTCTTTGAAAACATTTCAGAAACCATTCCTAGATAGTGCTGAGCATCTTAATGAAGATGTTGTAGCTGTATTTCCTGCTGCTGACAGTCTTGAGCAGTACATCATGGAAATCATCGTTCAGACTTGTGAAGAAAGGGCTGCAGATGTATTCTGCAGAAAACTGAATTTGTACAAGGTGAGGAACTTTTTTTCTGTTTTTATTGTCAAATGGATATATGGAAGACTTTTTTATATATACTTCATGAATGAGTACTTTTTTAATAACTAAATTTAAACGTGCTCATATTTTAGTGCATGCATCATATGAACTTAAGAATGTCATTTGATATTAAATCCAACGGTTGAAATACAGTCCCCACGGATAGGTACCTTTTTGTGGTAACTATGGAAACCACACTTGTGGTGGAACTAAGCAAGAAAGTGTTTCTTTTACTTGAGATGGTAATTTTTAACATGCTTTTGTGCTTCTTATTTTAAAAATCCAATTCATTTGGTTTGGGTTGATCTTGGAGTCAGGGGCTGCAGAGTAAAGACAATCAGTGGACACTAAATTTTCATTTTAGGTTTCTTTTTCAGTCTCCGTCCATCCCAAAATAAGCAACATACTTTCTTTTTTGGTCCATCCCAAAATAGAAGTTCATTTCCTTTTTTGGTAAGGAATACGTGGACATCATTATTTCTCTTTTTCAAATCAATTCCAACCATACACTTTTCAATTTTTCTCTTGAACTCCATGTCCGGTCAAAGTGGACTCTTAATTTGGGATGGAGGGAGTAGTATTTGTATTAAAAATGGAAGCAAGTTATCCATGTTGATGGCTTTAAGGCTTGAGTTCAGTTGTAGTGTTGGATAGTAGTGTAGTATTTTGTCTACAGTTGCCAACTCACCTTGGATTATTAGGAATGGCTAGAACTTCATTAAGCTCAGATTTTTAACCTTTATTTGATTCTTGCCCTTAGCTACTAATATCATTTTTTCTTTCACCTCTTTTCTTCCTTACCCTTCGACTTCCACCCCCCCTCTTCTTAGTCCTTTCTCACGCTCTAAACTTCTCCCCTTCCAACTTCCCCATTATTTGCTCACCATCTCCATCATAGCCTCCTCAGACATTTAAATGACCGATGGGATATAGTAGATTTAGATTATTTCTGACCTCACCTCTTAGTTTTTTATCATCTTTTATGGGATGTGATGATTTGTCATTGATTTCAATCGTTCTTGTTAGTTCTTTCTAAATTTGTTGGTTTTCTTCCTAATCTTCTGAAGTTTGCTTCCTAGTAGTTTATCTTTCTAAGTCCTTTTCCTAGTGGTGTAGTTTATTTAGGCACTTTCCCAGTCTAGTTGGGTTTTGTGTTGCTTCTTTTGGTTCAGTCTGGTATTTTGTGTGTGTGAGAAACTTCAATCATGTCTTTTCATTTTGAGGATGATGGTTTAAAAGATGATGCAGCTCTACTTCAAGTTGATTGATTCAAGTAGAATTTATTCGGTCAAAAAGATGGTCTCCAAGGTTCCACAAATATCAGAGGGGTTTCCTCTGTTGGAAAAGTTAAAGTGATATCAAAATATCAAAAAGCATCAACGCAGTTGGTCAGAAATGTGTTATACAACTGTTCTGTGTGAAAGATCTATTTCGACTGTATGATATTGTATTTGTATCAAAATATTTGTTATTGTAGATGCCTTATGACTCTTTTACATTAATATAATTTCGTGTTTCTAAAAAAATTTTTGCCCCAGAGTTTATTAATCAGTCACATACATAATACATGATACATCTTTGTGTTTCTCTCGCCTATTTGTTATATTTTCTACCTTTTTTCTGTTTTTTATCATCTTGTAAATTCTGATTCCTCATCCCCTTCTCCCTCATAACTGTAAATAGGCCTAAATGAAACCCTGTTTATTGAATTATCCCCCTCACCAGTCATCAACAGGGCCTGTGTTTTGCCATCAAATGAGTTCCTTTCATAAATTATCGATTGCTTTACTGAATATCTCTGAATTTCTGTATTTATTTCTTGCCGAAAGTACTAAGACAACTCAATATTTTCTGTTGTTTCACTTCAGATTGAGACTATATCGAGTACATTGGTGCTAAGATGGGTGAATTCACAGCTTGGAAGGATCTTAGGTTGGGTTGAGCGGGCTGCTCTACAGGAGGTTGCAATTTAAAGCTATCATGTGGTTAACTGCTTTATCCTTATTAATGACGGTTTGGCCCTGGAAACCCAATATTGAGACCTAAGTTTAGATACAAATATTGTGAAGTGCATAACTGTTTTTGCCTTGCTAATGACACTTTTGGTACTGAAAACCCAATATTGAAACCTAAATTTAGAGACTGGTATTTTGAAGTGTATGAATAACTTGTAGTCTTGTACCTTAAGCAATGCAATTTAAAGTTGTTAACAGAATGCCTCAAAGTTCATTCAAAATTAGGCTCAGTAGACATTATTATCATAAGAAACTGATCTATGACAAAGAAAATGACATGGAAGGAATAGTGTGTGCTATTGGAATCTCTACACATACTCCCTTCGTCTCCAAATGAACTTGACACTCGGATAATAATGCTAGGATGGAATTAATTCCAATTCCTTTTATGTAAGCATTCATGTAAAATTTAAAAATAGCATCTGTATAATTGAAAACTACATTAATAGTTCTACAAAACAAGAAAGTGTGTTTTTATAGTTCCTTTGTTTACAAAAAGGAACATATGTAATAGTTGTTTGCAGTTTTGCTTGTAGAACTGTGGCTGGATTTGACGAGCTGAGTAATATAAGTTGTGCTTTCGGTTCAAAAAAAGATTGAGATGTTTTGGGCACGTGTTGAGGAGAAGTACTGATGCTCCGGTGAGAGGTGTTAGAGGCAGGACGTGGGGGACATGATGAGGGGTAAGGGTAGACCTAAGAAGATTTGGAGCGAGGTGATTAAACTTGACTTTCGGGTTTATGAGTTAACTAAGGATATGTCGTTGGATAGGAGCTTCTAGAGGTCTAGGATTAGGGTGGTTGAGTAGGCTTTGGGTAGTGTTTTACCCTTGTGTAGGTGCTGTCTTTGTTTTCGTATCTATGTGTGTGTTTGCTTCTGTTGTGCTTCTCCCTTTGTCCTTTTTTCCTTTACCTGTGTTTTCTTCTTTTTTGTGATCCTTTGTTTTTAGCCGATGTCTCTTGGAAACAACCTCTCTACTTCCCAACTAGGGACAAAGTTTGCATTCACTCACCATTCCTAGATCCCGCTATGCGCAATTTCTCTGGGGCTGTTGTTGATCAATGAAAATATACAAGGAAGTAAGATATAGTTTGACATATGAATAATAACGGTAAAGTTCATTTGGAGACGGAGGGAGTATATGACTATATGGCATGGTAACACCTGCATATACTGAGTTTTTCTAAAACCACAGGACTCCATGAACTAGTTTAGTGTAAATGAAGAATTTATCATATGGCATTATATGAGCATACATTATGGAATGCATGTTGCACCAAGTTCTAGGTTACATGTTACTCATCATTATCTAATTTGAACTTGGCTATTCAACCCTTTGCCTTTTCTATCTATTATCTTCTTGTTCTTTGTCCTAAGGTAAAGTTTGGCTAGTCATAATGGAACATTATGTAATCAAATGCATGTGTAATGTAAATTTACACGGAAAAGTTATTTAATTGCATTACACTAGGTTAAAAGACGTTACCTTAGATTTTACAGTCCTGCATAGACTAATGCTGATACTTATATTTCCAGAAGTGGGGGCCAGTGTCATCACAACAAAGATATGGAAGCTCGATAATTGAAGTCTACAGGATAGTTGAAGAGGTTAGTATTTTTTTCTTCTATTTCATAAATCTTGATTCTTAGAGTTTTATCTTCTGTTTATAGTGATTTGTTTCTACCAATAACAATTAGGACTGTAAAATGCTACATGTACACTACAGTTACGCCAGAGACAATTTTGCAACTGCATACACAACTTTTGTTTGTTTCATAGACAATTGTTAAGCTAACAAGAATTGTCTACGCTGTTCAAAGATTTGTCTGTGATTTCTCAATACGAATATCATTATTTGATCATATTACTTTGAATATATAAAGTCACAAGGAAACATGTTAGAAGTTTGTTCAGTGTTTTGTGTCACAAATGCTGATTTAACATGTTTCTTAGTTTTCAGTTAACTAGCAAATTGATTTGCACTTTGAAGAGCTTAATTTTCAAATTTTCCATTACATTTTTGTCATGCTTTGACACTTTGACCTTAAAAAGGTTATAAAGGATAGTTGATGTCTATTAAAACAGAAAAGAAAGCCTAAGACCTTGTGGTCTGTGGAGCTGCATAACTGTGGCTCTCTCCAACGAGAGGTCACATGTTTGAAATCCAGTGGGGGAATTGATTCTTAGTGCCTCAGTAGGTTGAGAGAGTATGTATGCACAAATAATACATTGTAATGAAGTTAATAGCATTCAAAAAAGAAAAGAAAGTGTAGTTACTAACAATCTAAACTGTTTTTCTATTGCAGACAGTTGACCAGTTGTTTGCTCTTGGAGTGCCAATGAGATCAGAGGAACTGATTAGCCTCTTCCGAGGAATTGACAATGCATTTCAATTGTATGCAAAACATGTTGTTGAACAGCTGGGTATGTATGTATTGAACAACACAATGTTAATATCACAAATTAATCAAAACCAAACACGAAATTGTAACTTTTTATTTCCTAGATATTCTTGTTGTGTATTTTAAGATATCATTTATGCCATCTAGTCGTAATCTAACAATCACTGATTTCTGCTTCTGTTTGACTTATGTTTTGAAGTATTCTCTTGATATTGTATGTTTTTAAGTCTAAATCACGTCTCATGACACCTACAACTGTTCAATGAGACAATGACAGCTAATAAAGAAGATATTACTCCACCGGTTCCTATTCTTACAAGATACTCAAGGGAGCATGGAATTAAGGCATTTGTAAAGAAGGAATTAAGGGATACAAAGTTGCCAGACAGCAGAAAGTCCAGTGATATTAACGTTCTTTCAACATCAACACTCTGCATTCAATTGAATACACTTCATGTGAGTTCACTTACTATCTCTCCGCTTTTTAAATCTTTTTCATTTTTTTTTTTGGCCTAAAGATTTATTGTTTATCATTTAACAGTATGCAATCAGCCAGCTGACTAAGTTAGAAGATAGCATTTGGGAGAGATGGTCAAGGAGAAAACAACATGATAAGATTACAAGTGGGTATTTTTTATTTCATGCATAAAATTAGTGTGAATGCAATTCACAGGGTTTTGCGCCAACTTTTTTTCTAGATTTTTTTATCATCTCAAAACATCCTCTATTCTCAGTGGTAGAGGTCAAGAATGAGTACATCTCCCC